AAGAAGAAATCAGGAAGTCAAAAGACATCCAGAAACTTCGGTCGAGCATTGCAGTGTAAGTTTTAAGTGCTCCTGGATGGAGACAAAAATAGGAGGGACTTGGTGGTTCCTGGTGGGAAATGTAGTTTTAATCACAAAGCTGTTTAAAATGGAATGTTTTAGTGTTCATTTAGGAAAGGTCAGACTGTTAGTAGTGGCATTTGGGAGGAGGATCAATCTGAACAGGAAAGCTACATCCCTCACATCTGTCACTTACTCTGGCACCTTACTGTACATGCTCAAGGAATGTGAATACACCTATGCTAGTGCAGGGCTCTGGCCACATGGGCAAGTATATGCTGGCACAGAAAACTGGTCATGTGTAGGCAATCACATAAGGTATACAAACATGCACACATGGGAATGCAGGAATCTGGACACACAGGCACATGTTAGTACAAAGGTCTCATGTATATGTAAGCAAATGGGAGCATGTTAGTATACAATGCATACTTGTATACATGACTGTATATCACGAGAGCACACTAGTGCACAACACACAGGTGTGTACGTAGGTATATACACATATTAACGTATGTCTCAAGGTTTATGCTGTGTACTTTTTAGGTCTCCCATGTGTCTTGGGTATTTGGTTAACTTGAATGTGGCACAGCTGCATGTAATGTGTCTTCTGCAGGCTCTGTGGGATGGTGCAGTTCAATGGTGATGTGAGAAAGAAAGTTCTTCTGCAACTGTTCCTCCTCCTTGGCCACCCTTTCCCTGTGGTGAGTGTGTCTGCGCTTATGTGTGGCCTTTAAAGATGAGTGTATGTTGGCATAACTTTGAAGTAGGTTTAGAAGTAAACACAGGGTGAGATGGTGTGCCTGTGGAGATAGTTTTCAGGTGTGGGCAGCCCTGAGGTTTATTTGAAAGGAATGTGGGTGCTGGTACTGGGCAGGGTGAACATGAGGAAGTATTGCTGAGGGTAACAGCCCAGGGTTAGGATTTCCCTTTCTTACCAAGAACTCTTTGAGTATTCCAAAGTGACATTTTCCCCCCTAAAAAGTCAGGAGGAAACTTCTACAAAGGACAGTGGATTTTTGAGGTAGAGTGGGATGACCCACAGCTCAGCCTCTTTGTCAGAAATGCACATTACCAGGCATAGATCAGATCTCATATGAAGCAGTTTGTCACAGGACATAACCAGAAAAGATAGCAAGAGAGACAGATTCCCAGGTAGGAGTCCCTACTGCACCTTCTAACAAAGGCTGCAGTTTTTCCCCTCTGCTGCATGTCTGATGGCAGAAGTCTGGGCTATGACCAAGTTCATTTCCCTCCTTTTATGGACTTTCGTAAAATCCCTTGGGATCCCTAGGTGGTTGTGGGTTTTCCTCCTGTTGACCTGCTGTTCTTGTCCCAGATCCGGAAGACTACAGCAAGCCAGGTGTACGAGATGGTGCTTACCTATAGTGACTTGGTAGATACCGATGTGCTTGATGAGGTCATGTCTGTGCTCAGTGACACAGCCTGGTAAGTAGGGGCTGCCCAAGCCTGGTGCCACTTTCTCCTGTCCTCATAGCTTCTGATGGAAAGAGGGGAGACGTTTCTCAACAGTTCAGGGCCACCTCTCAGCTTCACAAAGGGTTGAGGACACATCCTGGGAGCTTCAGGTGGGAAAATGTTTAATGTGCATTTGCTTTTCTCCTCTTGTGAGCAAGATGGGTAGAGTGGTTCAGAAGCTGGTGTTTTTCAGTAACTGGAATATAGGGCCATCAGGATGCCACCAAGTGGATGTCAGCTAGCTACTTTTATTTTGCTACTGCAAGGGCCATGTGGTCTTTCCTCTGTTTTAATGGCCTAGAGACTTGTCTTCAAAGTCAAGAAGTGGTGGTGGGGTGTACAGCCTGTGGGTGTGATGCACAGGTGCTATATAGGCTGAGCCTGGAAGCAGTTAGTCACAACAGCAAGAACTCTTAAGACCTGTGATCCAGGCACTGTACACAAATATGGCCTTGCACACAATTATGTGCATGTTTGTATACATAATCACATACATACAGCTGCTCATATGTACAGGTATGTACTGCCAAACACACACACACAAAACCATCACCTGTGCACAGGTGCATTTTAAGCTGACTTGTCCCCTGTTCTAGATGTACTATTTGGGAGGCACTATTTGGGCCAGGTAGCCCAAGTTACTGCTACTGACTGTGGACACTGTCCCCTCCGACTGATGGAGAGGGGTATTGCTGACTCAAATGCTGGCAGGCCTGTTGGGGTGGCAAGTAAGGGTTTGTAGTGTATTTATGCACGCCCCTCAGAACAGCGATCTCCCTAGGAGCTCATGCTAGGATGTGGCCTTCCTGCCTAGATGAGAGCTGTGGAGGCCTGAAAGGCTAGAATGTATTTCAAGATCTTTGCTGTCAGTAGAAACTCAGCTCAGTACCTTCTCAGGAGACTGGTCAAACCTCAGGAGAGTGGACATTGCTTCCAACTTTCTAAAATGCTCATTTTGAGTAAGGATAGCAGGGAGGGAAGAGGAACTTTTTTGTTTATATTTTAGGATTTATTTTTATCTTTAATAATGTATATGCATATGTCAGGGCTTGTATGTGCATGTGAGTGCAGTTGCCTACCAAGGCCAGAAAAGGGTGTCCAAATACCCCTGGAGCTGGGGTTACAGGTGGTTGTGAGCTGCCCTACATGGGTGTTGGGATCTCTGCTCTTTTGCAAAAACGTGACACCTGATTTATAGAGGACTGTTTACTAACTTCTTTACATACAAAACATGCTTCTTGCTTTTCTGTTCCAATGAAAGCCAACAACAGCTGAGTTCTAATAAAGCTTCATAAGCCCTCTTAGCCTGAGTTATCCTCTCTTCTGTAGGTTCCTAGAACGGGGTAAGGCCCTTGTCTACTCTGGAGCATAGGGACTTTTGCCCCAGTACCATCAGGTCTCATGGGGTGTGGGGAGCCGAACCATGTTGGCATAGGGGACTCAAATGCTTTCCTTCTTAGGGATGCAGAGCTTCCAGTTGTAAGAGGTCAGCGGAATCACCTATGTGACCTCCTTGGTGTGCCCAGACCCCAGCTGGTTCCAAAGGTAATGCTCTTAGTATTCTAGGACCCATGGCTCCTGTGTTGTCCATTGTTCTGAGCTCTGGTCTAAAGTAAACTGGGTCCCACAATCAGTCATCACTGCCATGACTTTCTCCAGGCCAGCTGGAAGGGCTGCTTATGCTGCCAGGGTGGGCGAGTTCTGTCTTCATAGTGAACTGTTGTCTCAGTTCTACCTTCTAGGAAAGCCTCCACTGTGTGGGAAGGAGGCTTTAGCTCTCTCATCACTCCCTGCCTGGATAGATATCCTATTGGGGGCTCTGTTCCTCTGAGGACACTTGCCTGTCTCATTAGGCTTCATCTCTCCCTGGATTCCTGCCCCACTGGGGCCTCCGTCCTCTTCACTGCCCGTGCTTATCCTCTTCGCCTATCTTGGCCTTGCTGTATTTACTGTTTCTGAGGCCCCTTGTGCTGAGGTTGTCATGGAAGTTGTGCCCTTGGGCTCTCCTCCTGTGTTCTGTGGGTCAGTCTGTCTGTAGGGACTTTAAAAATTCTACATATTGAAGTTTTCATCCTAGATAAACATGCTCCAGCTTACTGCTTTTCTCCCTTTTATATTGTGGTCTACTTTGAGATTATTCAGTGTCTTTGCACCCAGGACCACCAGCCAAGTGTGGCACCACCCACACTGAGCTGGGCTCTCCCACATTGATCACTAATTAAGAAAATGCCCTATGGGCTTGCCTACAGCACAAGCTTATAAAGATATTTCTCAATTGAGAGTTCCTCTTCCCAAATGACTCTAGCTTGTGTCAAGCTTCCATAAAACTAGCTAACACATGTACGCAGGTGGGAAGCCTACTGTTTCTAAAAGCTGTATGTACTGCCTCTTCACACAGAAATTTAGTTCACTTGGGACTGACCAGCTGTGGTGTAAAGGGAAGATCATTTTATGCTGTTTGTATCAGCCAGCTTCACTCTACAGTGGATGATTCGGTGTCCTGTCTCCACTTCTGTCAAGTGACTGTATAAGTAGGACACTTAGGAATCCCTTTCATGCACAAGGGTCATGCTATCCATCTGTGAGCTAGTACAAACTATATGATGGAAGAGGTGTGGACTTCACAACCCCTCAGGGTGCCCACCATGTCTGTCCTCCAGTTTTATTCTGTCCAAGATTGTCTTCACTCTTCTTGACCCTTGTGAGTTTGGTTAAACTCTCAGAACTAGTTTATATACTGGCCAGCCAGGTTGGCCTGGGGCAATGTTGGGGCTAGAGGGAGCTGAGGTCCCTGATTGACACTAGGCCTCAGGCTTATGTGCCCTGGAAGGTCACCCAGTCCTACAGATGGAGATGCTGTCTGTGTGACTGGTCCCCAGTTCTTGGAACAGCTCATGTTGTTCCAATTTCATCTCTGCTTAGAAAGTTCCTGACCTGTTCACATGCCAGCTTAATGACTCTTAGTGTGTTCTTCTCACTTCCTTCTGACCCCCGCCCCCCAGTACCCCTGCTGTGTTGCTGTGACAAAACACCATGACAAAGACAACTTACAAAAGAAAGCATTTCACTGGGTTTATGGCTTCAGTCATAATGGCAGAGCAGAGACACCGCAGTAGGGACAGCTCAGAGCTCATATCTTGATTTGTAAACAGGAAGCAGAATATACTGGAAATGGAGTCATTTGAAACCTCAAAAGCCCACCTCCTCCAAGAAGGCCATACTTCCAAATCCTTCCCAAATAGTTCTACCAACTGGGGAAGGAGTTTTCAAACATGAGCCTATGGGGCCTTTCTCATTCAAACCACTACCTCCACCTACTAGCTCCTATCTGCTCTCCACAGCTCACCTTCCTGGAATGTCTTTAATTCTTAGCTGGATAATCCCCATCTCTATGTCAGGGGCTGTTGGGGCACCTCTTCTGTCTTTGAGTCATGCTTTTCTTGGCGCGCGCGTGTGCGCGCGCGTGCGTGCGTGCGTGTGTATGTATGTGTGTGTCTTTCCTAAGAACTAGTCATGCTGATTAATGGACAACAGTATATGGACTTGCTTTTCTGGCTGGAAGCTGCTGTTGGATGTTGACTGTGATATAGGCCTCAGGGTTTCTATATTTGTTTTCACTCTTGACCTTGGGCTCCCTGCCCTAATAGAACCTAAGCCCTTCAGAAGCCCAGCCTCATGCTGAAGTCCCAGGTGAGTCAGGGACAGAGGAACATTCCAATCAGCCAGCAGGTCTCCAACCTTGGGCTTGGCCTGACCTATAGCCTTCCTAGTACTGTTAGCATAGTTCATCTGACCTGCATCCTTCCCTAGAAGACATGGTTCTGGTGTGCCTGACAGGTGATTCTTTCCCACCTTGCTGGGTCTGAGTGAATGTTTTTCAGATCTCATGAGGTGAACCTTGCAGGTCCCCATGGCTGGTATTCTCAGCTGATGCAGGTACACATGGGCCTTTTGGTGGGTTTTGCTAGGCTGTGTGTCTCATATGTTGTATCTCCAGTTTCAGGATGGAGATCTGAGTTCTCTGAAATTCTGAAAAAAGACTTTTTTCAGTTGTGCAACTTTTTCTGTATAGAGTAGAGTGAGACCTCAGACAGACTCTGCTGCCCTGTGCATGAGCTAAGTCACGGTGTTAATGATGCCACACCAGCCCAAAAGCATTAGTACATATTTTTAAGTCACTTTACTGCATCAGTTACTGAGAAAGTAGTGTTTTACATTTGTCTCAAATGTCCTTTAATTATGTTTGACCTTTGGGGGATGCATTTTGAAGCTGGGTTACTAGGTATTTCTACTCTTGACATCTCCTTTGCCCACTGTGAGTGTGGTGACATCAGGTTAGCATGTTTCCTGTCATACTTTCAATGTCTATGAACAGTATAGTCAAGATTATGCCTTACCATCATTTAAAAATCTTTATTAAATTAGTGTTTCATGCATTCATGTTTACTGTATAATTACTGAAAAGTTTACATTCATATCTTTGTTTCCTGTTTGACCTTCCTGTTTAATGTTTCTTTTTCCCTTATCTGGATTTCATTTCCTATCCTGTTAACTTGTGTCACTGTTCTGTTCTTCTGTCCCTGGTTACCCTGGGGCCAGCACTCTTTCTTGACACATTGCCTTATCCCTGGCCTTGACCTCTAGCTGCAGAGCCCTGTCTGAAACTGGCCTGTCCTAACCCTGGGGCTGTGGTATTTAGCTGATATGGTCTTGATGGTCAGCTCCTGTTTTTCCTCAGTTTTCTTTGCTTTGATGATCTAGCTTTAAACTCTGAGCTCCTGTCACTCCCTGTCATGTTAGGGAAGATTTTGTTCTTTTTCTCTCCTGTGTGTGCTATACTGGGTCTGGGTGCCCAAGTGCTCCCAGGGCCTCCCCCTTGCAGGAGCCATCATAAGACACACAGGCAGTGGCCTGGTTGCTTGAATGGCTTTAGGAGTGGTGGCAACAGATGGAGCCAGTGTAGTCTCAGTCTCCTATGTGGAGAGTGAACTTGAGTTTTCAGCTATGCCCTTTACATTGTTAGGAAAACTTTGAACATATGTTTTCAGAATGTAAACAGTTTAGCAGCCTACTCTCATGAGGCCACCAGAGCTATCACTACACACTTCAACCTGCCAGGGTCCTAGGACATGGCAGTCTTTAGCCATACATCAGAGAGGGTGGGGTGGGGATCAGCCTGACATTGCTATGTGTCTTTACAGCCTGCTCCTGGAAGCTGAGCCATTCATTGCCTACCTAGCTGGGATGTCCTGCCCTCAGGCTCTACAACAAGCTTTACCATCATGGAAACTTGGTGCCACAGACTTCTGAGAAAGGTGGCACATGCTGCTAGATGGATTGGGAAGCCATCCACAGAGAGCAGTAACTCTTCATGCATGCTGTGCTCTGGTGGCCTGGACTGTCCGTACTCTTGCTGTTCTAACGCGATGTGCTTTCTATTAAATCATGTACCATACAGCCCAGCCTCTGTCTATTTCTGGGACTTACGTGAAGATCCACCATGGGCTCCACTCCCAGTGCTTTGCTGTGTTTTAGGCACAGAGTGATTTGTGTAGCATGACGGGTGTCTCACACTCTGGTAGAGAATGTGAAGTGCTGGGCAAATGCAGTGGCAGGCAGCTCCCCTCCCACATGCTAAGCCAGTCAAATCACCAGCCACACTACAAAGGTCTGAGCAAGAGATCATCAGAATCCAGCCTGAGGCCTGGATCCTCTGCACTTCCTGTCCCAGGGCCTGCATGCCTACCTGTCCTGCTGTGGTAGCCCTGTGCCTGCCTGTTCGAACTCTCTGTATCCCAGGCCTGGCAAGGACTGCTGGCATTGCTCATTAAGCTTCAGCCCCAGACGAAAGGGGTGCCTCTCATCTCTACAGAGTTGAGGCTGAACACATAGCTGGGACAGAACTGATAACTGCTCTTACAAAGGTGAAGTGGCCAGGCCCACAAGCCAAGGCCTGTAGTAGTCTGTGTTCACTCATTTAACAGCCTGCATCTCATGGAGCTGGACTTAATAACACATAGGCTGCTCCCTTTACTGAGAGTCACTTTCTAGGCCTGGGTCTGCAGGAGGTTTGTTGTGCTGACCTGGTGCCAGGGACCTCCACCTGAGGCCTGGCTCATACTTCATTCCAGCCTTGCATACATCTCTCCTAGACTTAGAATTTCCTGTTCATGAGCAGAAGAAAGCCTAGCTGAGATAACCTGATGAGATAGGCTTCGCTGTCATATCTTGATGACATTCTTGAGATTTAATGATCGAAGTAAAGGATTTTGTCCTGGCCAGCCACCTCTGCATGCAGATCCCATCCACAGACAACTGTTCCCACTGGGTGCCTGGAGGGGTTTCCACGAATTACTTAGAGGGAGCCCTCACTTAAGGCAGCATGACAGCTGGGGTGGCCAGGACAGTCCATCAGGTTAGCAATGCTGGGTGCTAGGAGGACAGGCTCAGCAAATAGCAACTTGTGTGTGTATGTGTGTGTGTAAAGGGGCATGCTTAGGCAGGAGGCCAGTTAGGTGTATGTGCTCACAGAGGAGTGCATACCTGGCCTGCTGTGAACCCTGTGAGCTGAGGAGCAGGAAGAAAGCAGCTAAGGGCACTGTGCCCAAGGCCATGTTCCTAGGTCTAGTAATGAGGTTTGGGTAGAAGCGTGGAGTAGATAATAAAACTGGGACCCTACAAGAGCTGTGCCCTCAGCACTGATAGATGGAAAAACTGTCCTCACAGGAAGGTGCTCTGGCTTTTTTACTGCATTGGGTGAAGAGGAAACATCCAGTGCGCCCCCAGAACTCCTATGTTAAAAGCCTAGGTAAACTGACGCTAACAAGCAAATGCTGTGACAGGAAGATACACTCTCTAAGGATGAAATTGATGTCCACAAACAGGGAGAGAAGCCTATCAACAAGACAGTAGAACCAAGTCACTGCCCACAATTCTAGAACCAATATAAAAGAACAGTTTCCAAAGGGAAAGTAACAGGACTGGGGATGTTGCATGCAAGAAACTCTGGGTAGCCAGGAGTGTTGTGCACACCTTTAATTCCACTAGAGGCAGGCAGATCTCTGATGCCAGTCTGGTCTGCATAGTGAGTTCCAGGACTACATAGAAAAACCCTGCCCAACAAAAACATAAAGAAACCCTGGGTTGATGATCCATCACCATATAAACTGGGTGTGGTAGTATACGCCTAAGATCCTACAAATAGATAAATAGCCCCCCCCCCAAAAAAAAAGTTAAGAGGTAGAAACTGTCAGAGAAGCTGGAGAGATGGCTCAGTGGTTAAGAAAGCACAGTAATCTTACAAACAACTTGAGTTCATTCTCAGTACCCATATGGGGTGGCTTACAACCACCTGTAACTCCATTTTGGGGGGAATTCAATACCTTTGGCCTCAGCAGAAACTATACTCACATGCAATATTAAAATTTAAAAACAAATTAAAAAAAGATTAGGAAGAGGTTCTAGGATAGAAAATAGCAGAAGCAAAGGTGGAAGGTCCCATATGGATGAGTCCCCAGCTCAAGACATAGGTAGACAGAACCCTGCAAGGCTGGAAGCTACCCAAGAGGACAGCTGGTAAGTCCATTATGTATCCCTGCTGCCTCTGACTACTAGGAATGTTCATGGTTAGACACCCAGTCCTTGACAGAGGAAGTGAGCTGGGGCCAGGTGCACTGGGTGGAATTACAGAACTGTTGAGAAGGAGATGGTAGCACAGCGGCTACCAGCTCACCAGCGAAATTGGAGTTGAGGAAGACAGTAAGAGCCACACTGTTCTGAAAAATGTGACTGTCAGCTTGCTAAATGATATGACTAGTGTATGTCTTAGTTAGGCTTTACTGCTGTTGTGAGGAGACACCAGGACCACAACAACTCAAAGAAAACATTTAATTGCGGGGGCTCGATTACAGTTCAGAGGTTCAGTCCATTATGGCAGGGAGCATGGCAGCATGCAGGCAGGCATGGTGCTGGAGAAATAGCTGAGTGTCCTACATCTTGCAGGCAACAGGAAGTCGACTGACTCACTGGGCAGTATCCTGAGTATATGAAACCTCAAAGCCCTTTCCCACATGGACACACTTCTTCCAGAAGGTGTGGCCCAAATTAAAAGTGTGCCCTCCAGCCTCAAGGTCTGGATTAAAGGTGTCATCCAGCCTCCTCCAACAAGGCCACAACTCCTAATAGTGTTCCTATGAGCTTAGGGGGGCCAATTACATTCAAACTACCACAGTAACTACCATTCAAGAAAGAGCTGTTGTAACTCAGTGCAGCCAGAGTCTCCATATTATTATCCCCAGCTAAAAGCAGTGTTTTTTGTGGGTGAACTTTAAGCAGCAGAAAAATGGCCTCAGGATAGTTTCAGCTAGGAAACCAAACAAGGGGAGAAATGCATGCAGCTAAATGGCGGGAGGGTATTATACATGTAAAATTTCTTAAAATGGACAAGTGAGGTAGGAAGGGATCTTAGTCCTGTGACCTGAGGGTGGTGTGTAGAAAACCCAGGTGAGCCTGCTAACCCACCAAGGGCTGCCAAGTAAGAGTTAACTATTCTAGCACAGAGAAAGGTCTAACACTGAGGAATGACGATGAGGAAGACAAGCTGTGAAAACTATCACATAAGAAAAGGAGATTGGTGACACGATGGGAGTGCATTCAAGTCCCCATTGAAAGACAAGACTAACTTGGAGGGACACAGACTGTTAGAACGGCTGAAATACAAGCTATGTATGTTCAGAAATGTACACCTAGAACAAAGGTATTGGGAGTGGGGAAGGCACAATGCTGGAGAGGGAGATGCCCAAGGTTCCTGCTTAGCAGGAAGAAGTCAGAGCTCTAAACCTTGGATGTATCTAAATGTACTAACATAATGTCTAAGCCAGACACACATCTGTAGCCCACCACGCAGGAGATGGAGATAGGAGGGTGAGTTCAAGACCAGCCTGGGCTACACAGTAAGACACTATGTTAGTAAATAACGAAGTAACGTAAGAAGATAAAGGCCAACCTACCATCTGGGAAGGTCACTTAAATAGAGAGATCAGATATATTAGAGTTAAGAATTTTATCATTTAATGTGACGTGTCCCTGACAGGCCTGAGTTTGATCATTTTGTCCCAGTTGGTGGCACCTTTAGGAATTAGGGCCTAGCTTGAAGAAGTGGGTCACTGGAAGATGGGGTTTGAGGTTTAGAGCCTGGCTCTTGCTTCTGGCCTTCTCTCCTTCCTGCTCCACTAAGATATGAGAAGGTGAAGAGTCCCAGCTGGGAACAACATCTCCCACCATCATGCCTTCCCTACCATGATGGACCATACCCTCAAATCATGAGCTGATACACACACACACACACACACACACACACACACACACA